AACATATATAATAGACATAAGATAGAGTTGGGAATATCTTGGCTGGCTACTTTAGTAGTCTCAATTCTAAATGTCAACGGCCCAAACGAGAGACTAGATGCAGAAATAGAGTGAACATATATAATAGACATAAGATAGAGTTGGGAATATCTTGGCTGGCTACTTTAGTAGTCTCGACTCTAAATGTCAACGGCCCAAACGAGAGACTAGATGCAGAAATAGAGTGAACATATATAATAGACATAAGATAGAGTTGGGAATATCTTGGCTGGCTAATTTAGTAGTCTCGACTCTAAATGTCAACGGCCCAAACGAGAGACTAGATGCAGAAATAGAGTGAACATATATAATAGACATAAGATAGAGTTAGGAATATATTGGCTGGCTACTTCAGTAGTCTCAACTCTAAATGTCAACGGCCCGAACGAGAGGTTAAATGCAGAAATAGAGTCCAACATACGCAATGCATATAACTTAGGTTTAACAATATAAGCTAGCGGACTGAATAAATGATCTCATTCGCCATATTTAGATTTACTGGGTCAGCCATCTAAATATGGCAAACGGGATCATTACGTGACTTTGGAACTTTTACGAAGCGTGTCATAATATTTATGTTTTCAGCTTTTGTTGCATTATTTGCAGATTACATTATTCTCTCAATTTATAATAAATATATGAATATATAGCTACTTCGTCTGAATTTGAGATAAAATTTTCTCTATATAAAACCCTATTTCATCCCCAACTTCATCCCCTACATGATTTTTGTGATAGATAGAAATAGACAACCTTTTTCTATTCTTCTAAAACGATCTATGTTCAAATCAAAGTTCATTAAAATCCGTTCAGTCGATTAATTGTGAAAAGATAATAGAGACATATACACTTTCGCATTTATCATTTTAGTATAGAAGTATGGATATAGTAGGGATATTCATACAAATAAATAAAATCGAAATGTTTGAGTGTAATTTCAAATTACCAGCCTTTCATAAAATGAATATTAAATACGGTCCTTATATGAAAGAAATAAGTTTATTTTTGTGTGTCTGTCTTTCTATCTATCTGTTTTTGCTATTCTCTAAAACGGCTGGACTGACTTTGATGGGACTTTCACTCGCAGATAGCTAATGTTATGAGGAGTAACTTACTAAGGATACTTGTATTTAATTTAATGAAAAAATATTAAATTCAAACAGACGGAATCACAGGTAACAGCTATACAGTATGTATATCTTTTATACTTATAAATAATACTTAACTCGTAAATATTTTAAACTTCATTTTCTAGTGTGTGAATGTCGTTCTAGTGGACGGTATGACAATTTAACTTTTTCTATTTACTCATCCGAGCAAATATACTTAATATTGCAGCAACGGGTTTATCAAAGAAAAATACTTTCCAAGAAAACACATTTTAATATTTAAATTTTTAAGCGTGGGACGCTCTTACGTGAAGATGTAGAGTAACAGACTTCGCTTTTCATTGAGTATTTGATCACTTTTAGGACTGTATACAACAAACTTCTTATATATACATGTATCAACAATACATATACAGCTATAAATAAAACTGAATGCATATGCCAGTCATTGAACTTTCGCAAAAAAACCTTCGGATATATTTTGTCATCGCACCGCTCGCTATCGACAGGAAATTCCTGGACAGTGCGGTTTTGTAGGAGCTTCCTCCCGAGTGCTTAGATTGTGGAATGAACTACTTACCGTTTGGTTACTTTATCTTACGGTTTTCTCTATAGACACTTACGGTTTTTCACGAAGGTTATATTAATGGTTCTTTATCACACCGCCCGCTATAGACAAGGAATTCAAGCCCACACGCTGGAACGTAAGTGGTCTCGGACAGTGCGGTTTTAGAGGAGTTTTCTCCCGAGTAATTAGATTGTACAATGAGCTACTTACCGTTTGGGTTCTCCATCTTACGGTTTTCTCTATAGATACTTGAGGTTTTTCACGAAGGTTATATTAAGCGTTCTTCATAGCACTGCTCGCTATAGACAGGGAATTCATCCCCACATGCTGGAACCTAAGTGGTCTCGGACAGTGCGGTTTTAAGGCAGCTTCGTCCCGAGTACCTAGATTGTACAATGAGCTACTTACCGTTTGGGTTCTCCATCTTACGGTTTTCTCTATAGATACTTGGGGTTTTTCACGAAGTTTATATTAAGGGTTCTTTATCACACCGCTCGCTATAGACAAGGAATTCAAGCCCACACGCTGGAACGTAAGTGGTCTCGGACAGTGCGGTTTTAAAGGAGCTTCGTCCCGAGTACTTAAATTGTACAATGAGCTACTTACTGTTTGGGTTCTCCATCTTACGGTTTTCTCTATAGATACTTGAGGTTTTTCACGAAGGTTATATTAAGGGTTCTTCATAGCACCGCTCGCTATAGACAGGGAATTCATATCCACACGCTGAAACCTAAGTGGTCTCGGATAGTGCGGTTTTAAAGGAGCTTCGTCCCGAGTACTTAAATTGTACAATGAGCTACTTACTGTTTGGGTTCTCCATCTTACGGTTTTCTCTATAGATACTTGAGGTTTTTCACGAAGGTTATATTAAGGGTTCTTCATAGCACCGCTCGCTATAGACAGGGAATTCATCGCCACACGCTGAAACCTAAGTGGTCTCGGACAGTGCAGTTTTAAAGGAGCTTCGTCCCGAGTACTTAAATTGTACAATGAGCTACTTACCGTTTGGGTTCTCCATCTTACGGTTTTCTCTATAGATACTTGAGGTTTCTAATACATTAAGGGTTCTTAAGGGTTGTTCATTGCACCGCTCGCTATAGACAAGGAATTCAAGCCCACACGCTGGAACGTAAGTGGTCTCGGACAGTGCGGTTTTAGAGGAGTTTTCTCCCGAGTACTTAGATTGTACAATGAGCTACTTACCGTTTGGGTTCTCCATCTTACGATTTTCTCTATAGATACTTGAGGTTTCTAATACATTAAGGGTTCTTAAGGGTTGTTCACGCGCATGTGCACCCCTAATGCCACAGGCATTCATAGACTATGGTGAAATGATAAAAAATATCAAAGTACAGAAGCGTTTAAATTCTTCGTTACCAACATATAATTATGTATATTACTTGTTATTAAAAACCAGACAATCCTATTCGTTTCTATTAATCAGTAAAATACGTCACGAATCACTCGAAAAGGTGTATTATGTATGTATGTAAGGGTACGATGATTTGTATTAGAGATATATGTATCAAGGAATCGAACCCTCGACCATCGGAAGTAAGGCAGTGTGCTAAACCGTTAGACCGGCGAAGATATCAAATGAATGTACTCATTTTTATATTATTTGTTAGGGTGTTCTAAAACCATAATAATAATAATAATAATAATAATCTCAGGACAATTCACACAACGCCATCTAGACTCAAGTTAAGCTAGCTAAATCTTATTAAATGGGTAATATGTGTATATACATAAATATATGTACATATATTAGGTTATGGAACAAACTACCAGTAGAGATACAGGAAAGTCCATCAATTGGTTGTTTTAAGAAAAGTTTGAAATCACACTATTTATCGACCTTAGTATGATTAGTTTCATCATGTATTTTATTATTTGTATTTTGTGTAATATATGTAGATATCTATAGTAATTGTATATGTAGTGTATATATATATAACTTTTATTAATGTTTATTTTATTTATTATTGTATATATTATTATAATATAATTAGAACTTTATTTAATTTGTTGAATTTTAAATGTTTTATTTTTCTCAACTTTTGGACATTTCAACATAATAGTGTTAATTGTACAGGTGTTACCTACTCACTACTAGCTATGCCACATTGTTGGGTTGACTGGTAGAGATCTCTCTTAGAGATAAGTCCACCTTTGCTCACTCTGTATATGTTTAAGTTTACAACTGTATTTAAAAGTGCAATAAAGAATATATATATATATATATATATATACATAAATTTATAGATCAATCGGGGTCATTTCCGCTGCCACCAATCGTGCAATTAAAATACATTTAAATATAAAATCCATTCCGGGACATTGATTTTAATTTACGCCTGCAATACGTTTTCATTGAAGGCCGATAAATAAACATTTGAACTATAACTCCCATTGCACTGTTGATAAACATATATTGTATGGCAATTTTACTATTATACTATACTAGCTTTTACCCGCGGCTTCACTCGCATTGAATATAAAAATACTTGTTTTTTTTTAATAAAAAGTAGATACTCTATGTTCATTGTAATACCTCCAAGTACAAAATTTCATGATGATCGGTTTAGTAGTTTTCGCGTGAAAGCGTAACAAACATCCCTACTGTCATATTTATTAAAGAAGTAGCTGTACCCGCGACTTCGTCCGCGGGGAATTTAACTTTATTTTTCTAAAATTAATGTAGCCTAATTTACTCCTTATTACATCTGCTACTTGCCAAAAGAAGTCCCATCAAAATAGGTCCAGCCATTTCAGAGATTAGCCGAAACAAACAGACAGACAGACATTGTAAAAAATGTTATTTTGGTGTATGTACCGTATTTATATTCATATGCAAGTAGTATAAAACTGTTGTTTCAATATTACAAACAGACACTCCAATTTTATTTATATGTATAAATTTTTAGTCAAAGTCATGGTTATCTGTCATCCGTGTGGTCAGATATGGCCATAAAATAAAACCCTGAACAATTAACACAGCGCCATCTAGTGCCTCATCAAGCAGAACTTGTATGGGTATTAGACAACTGATATAAATACATGGATACATTTTTTTTTTAAATAAATACATATAATACATAGAAAACACCCAGACCGATACAAACAATCATACTAATGAATACAAATGTTTGTACCGTGCGAGGAACTGAACCCACGACCATCAGATAGTAAAGCGGTGATAAACCACCGAGGCTGTACATACATGTACGAAGCCAGGCCGAATAGCTAGTAATACCTAATTAAGTGACGGTTATTCTCCACAGGGGCACGAGTGGCATCGACATCGATCTACGAAGAGTGGACATTGATCAGTGTCCGCTGAAACCTGGCTCATCGCAACTTAACATCTTCGCCGGCACCGACAAGTGCAAGAAGAAAACAACCGAGGTAATATTTTCTATATGACTTGTATAGCAAACAAACAGACATCATCATCATCATCATCATCATCATCGCAGCCCGGAAGACGTCCACTGCTGGACGTAGGCCTCCCCCAATGATCTCCACGACGATCGGTCCTGCGCTGCTCGCATCCAATGCCTTCCAGCGATTTTGACCAGATCGTCGGTCCACCTTGCTGGAGGCCTTGCTGCGTCTTCCGGTCCGTGGTCGCCACTCGAGGTCTTTACTGCCCCAACGGCCATCTGTCCTACGAGCTATGTGCCCTGCCCATTGCCACTTCAGAGTCGCAATTCTTCGGGCTATGTCGGTCACTCATAGAACCCATCAAATAATACCACTCTGTAACTATATAAAAAAAATGTTACTGTCTGTATATAAAAAGTATATGAGAAATAGGTAAACATAAAAAATTATAACATACAACCGATTTAAAAAAAAAAAGATCGTCATAAATAGATACATTTGTATATGTATTTGTATGTTACACAATATTTTCAAGGAATAAATGTTATACAGTGTAAAATATATATGTGTAATAAGAACTCAGTACATCATTACATAGTATAAAACAAAGTCGCTGTCGCTGTCTGTCCGTCCCTATGTATGCTTAAATGTTTAAAACTACGCAACGTATTTTGAAGCGGTTTTTTTGTAACAGATAGAGTGATTCAAGAGGAAGTTTTATACATATAATACATGTACACCCGTGCGAAGCCGGGGCAAATAGCTAGTAAATGATAAATCTCAGGACATTTAATCACATATAGCTAACCAGAGCTTGTATTATTGGTACTAGATAATTGTTACAAATACTTAAATACCTTTTTTATAAATAGGTACATAATTCGCATAGACACTCATACTGATACAAACAATCATACTCATGACTACAATTATTTGTCCTAGGAATCGAATCCGCGATCAGAAAGTAAGGTTAAACAGCTAAACCGCTAGTTAAGTACGCCGTCAAAATAGTATAAATTAAAAATCCATAAGAAAAAAAAGAAAGAACGAAAAATATTTTATTCAGTGCAATGTAAAAAATACATAAACATAAGATATCACAAAAAGATAAAATTATTAATAAAAAGATATATACGTCTATGCACACAATAAAAAGATAAAATGTTTCTTCTACTGTGGTATAAAAATATTCATGATTCGTCCAACTTGTACATCATCTGGCAAAAACACGGTACGTGTATGAACTTGGGGCCATGAATAATGCGTTTTGCATATTACATTAGAGGAAACGTTGAACACCGTAATTTGCGCCTCAGTAAAGGAAACCGAGACGTGTGTTACTTCTGGATTGTCCTTTCCATATTTCATATTGTTTCATTCACAAATGTTATCTGATTGAACAGAGATTAAGTGAGTAGCGGTTTCTATATTGATTGTCGCATGCCTAATCCTTGTTGTTAATTAAATATAAGTAAATCAATATTTATTTAAAAGAGCAACTCACAAGTTTCTTGCTTATTCTTCTTGTGATGAATCTGCATTCCGAATAAGCGGCTGAATAAAAAAACTTGACTATTCAAAAGTGCTTATATTAAGTTTATTTGAGTAAAGATTATGTATTTCTATTATCTATCTAATGTAACAAATCTCGTTACACAATAACACGTCAATAGTGATTACATTTTTTTTCTAAGATAATTATGTCACAATTATAATTTTAGTATTCAAAATAATAAATTAAATAATATATAACATACTAATAAAAGTCACTTAATGGAAAGTGTCTTAATTTTACATTGGAATTCAGATATCCGTCATATTGTAAAAAGGATGTTGCTCGCAATATGATTTTATTTTGTTCTTAAATTCTGTTGATGTCAATTCCATTGTTTTATTTGATAGTTTATTGTACATTTTTATTTTTAAGTAAATACCTTGTTTTATTGTTTTTGCAAGTCGTAATCTTTCTAATTCTAATTTATATACTGTTTTAAATTTGACGCAGTCATTATTTATATGTATAATTAGTAAAAACCACGTTTTATATATATTTGCTGAGTTCCCGATATTTCGACAGTGTTTAATGCAAATACAAACTAAAATTAAATGGTTGTACAATAATTTCACAAATTAATACAAAGTGTGGCCTCCTCAGTTATGGACAATTTACTGGCACCGATTATTCATAGAATCGATGTTAATGTTATCCTGCGGCAATTGCTCCCAATGAAATTTTAGTAAGTCCATCAGTTGTTGAGTTGTTGTCACTCCATCCAAGTCCTATAAAACACATCTCTGGAGCATGTCCCATGCATGCTCGATGGTATTGAGATCTAGTACTAGTAGATACTAGGATATTTTCCCTTGCCAAGTACTCCCGTGTGTGCAAAGCTGTATGTGAATGCGCATTGTCATTGATCAGAATAAAATATACGCTATAAATCCTCTCCTATCGATCCCCCGTCCTTAGATTACAGTCGTATCCATCAGACGGGAGTTGGCCTTTAGCCTTTTCATAAGTCCTTCCGCGGGTTTGGAGTGTCATTTACACTCGCTCCTTGTAGTCCGGCGATTCTGTAAAGGCCAGCTGCGGTCAGCAGCATTAGAGTAGTCCGAAAAAAAGGCTATGAATTTTATGCGTGTAAAACCGCGTACAAAGCTCGTATTTCAATAATCAATTGTGTGACTATACTAATTACAAAAATTAGATATTATTAGTGTATTAATTTTTAAGTTTAAAAGTTTATAATAATTTTGGTTGTTTTAATATGGGATAATTATGAAATCATTTCCGTACACTTAATCAGCGGGCCTAACCGCAAAATGTTAACCAAAAGTTAACCAAAAACTTAATGACGTTTAACTTGAAATGTGAGGTTATGTTATTAACGATCATTATCATTAATTACTGATTATGTATATTTAAACGGTTAATATAATTATTAAACTGAACGAAATAAATAATGCACAAGAACTAAATATAATTCAAATTGATTGTTGGAAACTGCAACAAAAATAATTACAAAACCCTTTTTAGTAATTTATAGAAATTTATAGAAATAGAAATAATTTTTATTCAAATAAACTTATTATAAACACTTTTGAATAGTCATATTTTTTTTTAATCAACCACTCATTTGGACTTCTGTCCTAGCAACAAAAAACAAATATATATTCAATATATATTTTTTATAATAATATATTCAACTTATTCGCTTATTTCGGAACCCAATCCAATAAGATTGTCTCTGATGTGATCGCATAAATCCTGCAAAGAGATTCAGAGAATCTATATAAGGTACAAATCTGCCTTGTTTGTTACGCTGAAACTTTTCCATAACAATACTGAGTCGGGAAAAGAGTTAATTTCACATACGGTTGGCTTACGCGACGCTTTGGCGGATCAGAGGTTCGGGATCTCACGATTTACAAGTTATACAATTTTAGCTAAATTCGATATTTGCAAACATCAGTCATATATTTATATTTATTTATTCGATTAGGTAGGTATTATTTTGCGGAGTGGTTTTTTTAATGGTAATTAGTTAATGGATTTACATTATTTTGATTATTTCCGCTATCATAAACATGTGGGAGAGGTTTCCAAAATTTATTGCCTAATATGCTAATGGTAATGCAACGAATTAAACAAAATAATATATTGTGATAGATGACCTCGGTGAGACCAGACCGATACAAACAATCATACTCATGAATACAAATGTTTGTTCCGTGCGAGGAATCGAACCCGCGACCATCGGAAGTAAAAATAACCGTCCCTGATATAAAATCGAAGAGAGCATCTTTTATAGTCGTCGGTTATACACTTGTAAGACACGTAGAAAACATCCTTATACATACGTCATATATACGTCAATAAGATACTATTTAATGACGTCACAATAAAGTTAAATGTACTATTTGAAGATGTAATTACTAATGAGGAAAGTTTATATAGTTATAAAGGAACGAAAGCTATTTTAGTTCCAACAGAAGTTACTGAGCTCCTCCATTTCGTACGATGTCAATTAAAAAGACTGGACTATAGTAATTACACAGATTCTGTCTTTTGTCGAATCATTCTAACGCTGTTGGCCGTAGCTGGCTTTTACAGCTTTACCAAACGATAGCGAGTAGATGGCACTCTAAACCCGCGGAAGGACTTATGGAGATGCTAAAGGCAAACTCCTGCCTGGTGGATACGATGGATACCCTATTCTCTGAGCATGGCTTGGGGTTCGAATATCGACCCAGATCTGCGTAATTTCTATCCCCATTTTAATTAATATAATAATAATAATTTTTATTTTGCATCCAATATTTACAATTTAAATTGTTCCCTGATACCTAAACTAAGTAGAAACTTGTATATTAGGTAACAGTTCCCTCCTCTTACAATTCACAATGGTTGGAATTACAATTTATAAGAAGAAATCAAAGGTTATCATTATCATTACTTACTTGCAATGTGTGTGTGTGTTATGTGTGTGAGAGAGAGGATAAGATAAGAAGAAGGAGAGATAAATATTAATATGGGGACACTAGTGTTTCACAGTTTTCATAATCAAGTGGTTTTAGTCATTTCAAAATAATATTTTTTATATCATAATTAGATTTATCCTTTAATTTATCAATATCCTTAATCATAATAATACCAGCTACTTCCATTTGACCGCATTCAGAACCAAGCAGCCAGAATCATTGGTAATCAACGTCTATGTGACAGACTCGACCCATTGGCTTTGCGTCGAGATATTGAATCTCTGTGCATTTTCTACCGCATATATCACGGGGAGTGTTCTGAGGAATTGTTCGGATTAATACCAGCTGCTGAGTTTCACCACCGTACAACCCGCCAGAAACTGAAATACCATTCTGATCATCTGGATGAATGGCGGTCTTCCACAGCACGGTTTTCTAAAAACTTTTTGCCTCGCACAACCACATTGTGAAATCACCTTCCAGCAATGGTATTTCCGAACCGCTACGATATTGAAACCTTCAAGAAAAGAGCTTATTCC